TGCACTACAAAAGGTAATACCAGCCTGTTCTACAGACACCAACAAGGCCAAAACTTCCCAAAAGCAAAAACAAAAAACAACAAAAAAAAACAAAAAAAAAGAAGAAGAAGAAGAAGAAGAAGAAGAAGTCACTATGCACTACAAAAGGTAATACCAGCCTGTTCTAAAGCCACCAACAAGGCCAACAACAACAACAACAACAAAAAAAAAAAAAAAAAAAAGACACCAATAAGGCATTGGGGCACTTGGAGCAACTGTAGTAGCCTGAAGCAAACGTTTCAACAAAAGTTAGGCTTAACTTAGTTAGGGTTAAGAGGTGAAAAAAAAGCTTGACTGAAGTTGGGACGAACTAACTAAGTTAGCGCTATGAGGCGAGGCTAAAGTAAACTAGGAAGGAAGGTAGGCCAAACAAACAAACAAACAAAAAAGGATAGGCTTATAACAAGTAGTTTCTTGTTAGGCCTGACAAGAAGTTAGGCCTAACAAGAAGTTATGTGGATTTTTCCTGAGTTAATATCGCGAGAGTGAGACTCGTATCCCACGGCACGAACAGTCCTGAAAACACCAACAAGGCATTGGCACATTTTTCAGATTTTACCGTCAACTTGTACGAGATATATATATCTCATAATTCAGCTTCAGAAGGATGGAGCCCCTGCTATCAGAGCAAGCCCGTAGAGGTAGCAGCCCTTTCAGGTAAATCTTCACCAAGATTTTGGATCAGGGTCGTCAAACCCCGAAATTAAATGTCAAAGTAATTATTAAAAAGTTAAAAACTTAAAAAAACAGCAGCACATGGTGCCCTCTCATTTCTTCAGAACACTTACCTGGAAGAAATCTTTCTCTTTCCCCCTTGGTCCCCTTGGCTTACTTGCTTGCAGATGCTCGTTGTGTGTGTGTGTGTGTGTGTGTGTGTGTGAGAGAGAGAGAGAGAGAGAGAGAGAGAGAGAGAGAGAGAGAGAGAGTCACTTCCTCAGAAGTGAATAGAAGTTAAAAGGTACTCTACGACGGGAAGTTTGTCATGGAAAGGAGGGCTGCCCAGTAGAAGTTAAACCTATATACTGTACGTTAACCCTCCTGAGGGCGTACTCACAATAGCACTATGACAAATGTACCTGACCGGATTTAAGGCCAGATCTGGACGTATCTGACCGCGATCACGTCCAGAAATAAGTGACAAAATTCCTACTGTGAGTATGCCCTCAAAAGTAACTGCACTCCTCATTTAAGAGAAATAAGGAAGTAGTTACTTTAGTCAAAGTAAGTTTCTAGACAGTTTAACTTACCAAGACTTAAAGTTGCTCTACAAGATTCTATACAAGGGGGGGGGGGGGAATGCTGACAGCTACACGCCTATACTGACAGTTAGCTCTACTGAAGAAAAAAAAAAAAAAACTCTACGGAAAGTTATGTAGCTGTAAAAAAAAAAAAAAAAAACTCTACGGAAAGTTACGTTGACAGAAAGGTAACTCTTATTTTAACTGAAGGTTACTACTGGGCTGGCCATTGCTGCAGTGAATAACGTACAGCCCTGGGAGTCGGCACGTTTTTACTGAAAGGTTAACTCTAACTTAACTGAAGGTAAATTCTAACTTAACTGAGGGTTACTACTGGCCTAGCCCTTACTGCAGTAGGTAACATACAGACCCGGGAGTCGTAAAATTTTGCAGCAACTGCACGTCATCACACACTGGAGTTTTGCGCACTTGGGTACAAGTTACTGAAATGGCACTCACCAAAAGTTACTGTTACTCTACAAGATAAGATTCTCTACTGGAAAATGAACACTGGTGAAACTACGGCGATACTGAAAGTTAAAACTTACCTCTACAGAAAAAAAAAAAAAAAAGAGAGTTAACTCTAAGGAGAGTTACAGGTACTGAACGGTAACTCTAACTTAACTGAAGGGTTTGAAAGTTTCACCCATACTTGAAGTGAGCTCTACAGAGAAAAGGTTAAGTCTACGGAAAGTTACGGTTACTGAAAGGTAACTCATAACTTAACTGAAGGCTACTACTGCGCTGGCAATTGCTGTAATTGACAACGTACAGTCCTTGGAGTCATTTTACAGCAACCGCTCATGGGCACAGACTGGCGTATTGCGCACTTTGGTACAAGTTACTGCAATGGCGCTGCAGCTGATAAAAGTTACTGCTCAGTGAATGGAAGTCTACTCAAATTCATTGGAAGCCGTCTACTACACTGACAGTGACTGCACAGTTACTGTGCACCTTTTCTGGTTCTGGTAATAAATACTGTGAGTCGATTGCTGCAATCAGTTACTGCCCTCAGTCACTGAACTCGTTTACTGAGATCAGAGTGACGGTACAATTACTCTCTTTCATCTACTGGGTGGTATTTCATGTTCCTAATTGAAAAGTTACTCTTACTGGAAGGCACTGAAAGTCAACACGTGGAATCAGTCTGTAACTGTGATCTTACTGCGGTCAAAATGACTGTACAGTTACTGTACGGTAGAGTTACTGTACTGTACAGTTGCTGTACAGTTACTGTAGACTTGCTAACTGTAGAGTTACTGGAAGGCACTACGCTCCTAATTCACTTTACTCCTACTTGAAGGCAGTGGAAGTCAGTAAACGTTACCGTGCAACTGAGTGCGTAACTGTGATCTTACTGCGCTCAAAGTGACTGTACAGTTACTATACAGTTACTGTAGAGCTCCTGTACAGTTACTGGAATGTTACTGGAAGGTACGATGCTCCTAATTTGACTTTAATCTTACTTGAAGGCACTGGAGGGCAATGAAATTAGCGTGCAATGGGCACTGAAATTAGTGTGCAATGCTCTTTTCTTGAAGGCACTGAAAGCCACTGAAATTAGCGTGCAAACTGTTATTTTACTGTGCTCAAAGTGACTGTACAGTTACTGGAGTGTTAATGGACAGTACGATGATCCTAATTTGACTTTACTCTTACTTGAAGGCACTGGAGGCCACTGAAATTAGTGCACGATACTTTTACTCGACGGCACTGGAAGCCGCTGAAATTAGCGTGCAAACTGTTATTTTACTGTGCTCAAAGTGACTGTACGGTTACTGGAAGGTACGATGCTCGTAATTGACTCTCCTCGAAGTCACTAGAGGCCACTGAAATTAGTGTGCGATACTCTTACTTGAAGGCAGTGAAAGGCACTAAAATTAGCGTGCCAACTGTTGTTTTACTGTGCTCAAAGTGACTGTACAGTTACCGCACAGTTAACTGGAAGGAACGATGCTCCTAACTGTATACTTGAAGGCACTGGAAACCGCTGAAAGTTAGTGTGCAATCAATCTGTTTCTGAAAGGTATTCCACATAATGATTGATCTCAAACCGCCAGTACCTTTCCCAGCTATCGGCCGCGGGCCCTGCGCGCCGAGTTTTGGAGGCACATCTGGCCGCCGCCGGAGGCCGAGTGTCCTTGTTAACCGCCGCGTCTCGGCAAAATGCCTGGGAAAGGTGCCAGTGGTTTAATGTACTTGTTTCGTCAATGTTGTAGCATCTCGTCCAGTCCGGGAGGAATATAAGGTCTTCAGTTCGATCACTTTCCCTCCGGAGCACATCTCAAAAGTACAATGGCGTCAGCGCCATCCTCATCGTCATCGTCATCGTCATCGTCAGTCCGCTCCCTAATCTTGGTAAGGCATCCAGTAATCTAGGGATGACTCTCATGCTTTCGATTTCCTAATCTCCGCGATTAGCTGCAGTTACTGAAGCCGATGCAGCACGTTTTCCTTTGTGCTCGGCACACCTCTTTCGACCCTTCACAGGTGGGGTGGTGCATATTTTGCCGTCTCCGCATTTTGCGCCACAAAGAAGGGGGAGGTCAGGGCCCTTCCCCGCATCCATGTCAGGACCACCACCTCCAGCTCCAGCTCCAGCTCCAGCTCCAGCTCCTCCCGCCTTCCTTGGCGTGATATCCGCCAGGTTGTTGCCTTTCGCCGCAAGCACTGCGCTCTCAACGACAGCATTGCTCTGCTCCTCTAACACCTTGAAGTTTTTCCATGGAACGACAACCTTCCCTTGCTCTCCCTGCCCCGTTGGTGTTGTGTTTTCAGCATCAACTTTTGACACCTTACCCTTTGCAGTCGAACGAAGATTGCGGGCATTGCCGTTGGGTCTCACGGCGCCCTCGTCCCGAACAACAACACCGGCCTCGTCCGTTCTCTTCGTCAAAGCGTCGCCGAGCTCCCTTTGACTGACGCACGCGCTCCGTCTCCTGTTCGGTGGTGGACTGGGACCCAGACTCGCGCCAGCATCAGGCAGGCCATGCACCTCGTCCGCCCGCTCCCTAATTTTGGGTGACGACGTTCGGCGGCGGACAGGCTTCGACTCCTCTTTGCTGGCGCTCGGCCTCACGGTCGCGACGACCACCCCTGCGTATTGCTTTCGTCTACCGAACAATGCTCGTCGCCAGCCGGGCATTCTGAATCCCACCAAGACGGATGCTTTCCTTTCCGCTATCTTCTTATATACATCTGCGGGCCTTCGGTGACCATTCTTGTCCTTGTTCCACGCGTAATCGAAGGTCGCAAGCAGCTGCGCTTCAGCTGCCTCTGCCTCTTCCTTGCTTCCACAACTAGACCACCGGAACACAACCCCAAGGCCTTCGGAAAAGACCTCGCTGAATATCTGAAGACCGGGCCCGGGCCCGGCGTCCTCCTCGTCTTTGACTGCGGGGCCGCAAGTCTTCTTGCTACATTGCAAATGCGCCCCGTTCCGTCCATATTGCTGCAATCGATTACGGATGTTCTCTGCCTGGCCTATGTAGGTGGTCACAACATCTCTCGAACGAATCAATCGCATACGAGGCGCCTGTGGCGATGAGCACATCTTCAAACTAAATGACGAAGGCGGAGCTGGAATCCCCGACTTGGTCGTGAGCTCCGGCCCAACCCTTGCCACACCGAGTTCATACACTCCTGGACCAGCGTAGGATGGTAAATTCTGTGTTCGGTACCTTTCTCCTCCCTCCTTGCCCTCCGCATAATCTGACCAATTTTGAGGGCCCACCAAGACCTGCACCAGTCCAACAAGTCAGCAACTGGCAATAGAGTTTTTTTTTTTTTTTTTTTTTTTTTTTTGTGTGTGTGTGTTGCAGATATTATCTCATTATTAGATCACGCGTCGAAAAGGGTTGAGACTATGATCATGGTTAGGGTGATTAAAATTTGGAGTATATTATTATTCGCTACGAGCTTGTAAGTAAACCAGCAGTACCTCATAAAGGCATGGCAGTTAAAGAGACGCGACTTTCGGGATGAACAGGCCTGGGGTGCGAGTACAAATTCAGTCAAGTGGAAACGCCACGGGTTTTCACTTGGCTGGCCGTTAACGAGGGGCGACTTGTGGAGCTACTGGTGGTTTAAAAATTAAAATCATTGTAATGTAATTATCAGTGTCCCTTTGAGCTTGCAAATATTCTGCAGATTGTAATTAGGGGGGGCAAAGAGGGGATGGGTAGCAAGAGTGGAATGGAAAGGGGGAGGGTGGGGAGGGGGGGGAGGGAAGAGGGTAGGAAGAGGAGATTTTGGGGACCAATGGAAGGGACTATTGGCTTAAGTTCAATGACTGGACGAAGGTCTAAACCTCCATTCCACTGTGGCCCCTCTCAGATTTCGCTGCAGCGACTGGCTGAGGGGGAGAAAGGGGGGATGGGTAGCAAGAGCGGAATGG